TCTGAATTGAAGTATTGTTGCTGGGACCTATCTCCTTGATGAACCTATGGATTGGTGTAATGACATACAACAGATACATGAGATTGGTTTTTAAAAATTAGACTTAGTTATGATTGAAGTAGAAGTCTGTGCCATGGCATATCAGTAAACGTTTAACAACTGGCTGGTGGCAGGGGGTGGAGGGTGGAAAAATCGTGATTTGTGGATTTTGCCAATTTCCTAGGTGTAAAGACTCTGAATATGGCCAATTTTACACTGCCAAGTCAGATCTTTGAATGCAGACTTGGGAAGAGACCCGCACAGTCAGTTCCTGCAGGCTTGTAGTCAGCATCCCACTGATGCTGTGTATTAGCTGGGTGACTTTTCAGTGCCAGATAGCATCAGCAAAAGCTAGTTTTATCTTTGTTTGCTGTAATAATCCAGGGACATGTATTTCCATTTGATTTTGATGACTTTTGGTGTTCAGCTCTGGGATAATATTTTATAGTTAGCCTTTTAAAGATCTTACTGTTATAAACATTGAGAGAGGAATAAAATAATTTCACTGAGAAGAAACAATTTTGTTTTGCCAACTATGGTAAATATCTTTAGATTTGTTAGAATGGAATCATTCTCTTTTGGCTGCACTAAGGTCTGCATTTGAAAAGGGTGGTTTAGGCTGAAACTTTTAGCTCTTGTTAACTACAGCCTCTCTGAGTATTTTTCAGGCCATCTCTCTTCTTTTGTCACTTAAAGTCAGGTGAATTCTATCTAGGAGATAATTTCTGAAATTATGAGAGAGGGAATACTAAACCAATATCTAAGTTGAAGGTGGGCCTCCTGAGGTCTCTCTACACGTCTCCCCTGATCATAAAATCCCCAGAGAGAAAGATTACATAACTTACCTTTTTCATTTGGATTTAGCAGCTCTTGGCTTCTTGAGTAGCAAGAGTACCCATGGGGACAGAAGCTGAGCCAGGGAGGCTCCAGCCATGGCCTAATAACCCCAATGCTAGGCCTCAGGCACCAGCTGACCTCTGGGAAAGAGTTTGGCATTTTCTTTTAGTCTGTACTCCAGTGTCAGCTCACATTGGCCAGTCTTTTTAGGGCTGTCTCCCTACTTGAGTGGCCTTGTTCCAATTTTTTTCTTATTTAGGGAATTTCCCTTTTTCCCTCCATGTCCTAATAGGGAAACCTCCCTTTATCCTTGCTCAACCTTCACTGACTTTTGAGACTGCGTAAGCAACCTCCCTTATCTTTTCTCACTGAAATATCCTCTGGATGGTTATGTGCACACAGAGATGTTAAATGGTTCTGTTGTTTGATATTGTATTGTATTGTATTGATACATTGTAAGTATCCAGCCCTTTCCTAGATTTTTTGAGGTGTGTCAGTGGGTCTGATTCCTTGGACTATGACTCACTTCATCTAGACGAGCGTATCACTAGAGTTTGTGAGGAATCCGCTCGTGCCCTAAGGAGAAGGTGGGTCATGTTGAATGCCATGCTATATACTCTAGCAGGTACCCAAGATCCTATATGATTTGTGCATAGAGGAGGATCCCCTTGCAGTGTTGAATGCAGGGTGAGAGCTAATGGTCTAGAAAGGCATGGAAGACTAAAGGAACAAATTTCTGGGTTTTTGGTGTTTATACCAGCTGCCAATATTTTCATCTTAATTTTTGGTCTGATTTTTTCATCTAATGACTTCCAGGCCTGACCTGTGCCCTCTCAGCTGTGCTGAGCTGAGATTACTCACTGCATTTGACTTTATTTGTAGTATGTCAAGATCTTGTGCTTCAGTCTCAAGGGCCCTGGAGTCCTCTGAGCTGGCTGCAGAACTATAGAAAGTAAATGAAAGACAAATTGTAAGGAAACAAGTCTTTAACCAAGTCCTCTTGCCCCACCCTGAGAAGGACTTATTTTACTTCTAGTCAGTGATCAAATGTGGGAAAGAGAAAAGAGGCAATAATAAAAACTCACTAACTCCTAATAGTGCTGACAAGGGTCTTGCTAGTTCTGCTCTGAAAACTGTTTCCTTGAAGGAGTGGGCTGATCACTTTCCCTGATTATATTGTCTCTACTTAAGAGTTTAGGAATAATTCGTGGTGGCAAAATGACCTTGCAAAATCAAACATTATATTCAATTTAAGGGATGATTGAGTGAGCTGTGGAAATGAGATATCCATGTTCTAAACCCAAGAGAAAGTCAGTCAGTTGTGGTTTTGTTGAACACGTTGGCTTATGTCTCCCAAAGGAGCAAGCAAAACTCATCACAGTGATCTTTAACCCCCAGCACTATTCATTGCTTTCTGTTTATTAAACAGTTGAAATCACATGCCTGGGTTCGTGGCCTCACTGAACATGAATAGTCCAGTTATGGGACATGATTGTATCGAAGGTGGAACAGTGGACATCTCAACAAATCTCTCCAAGCTATAGGAGCAGAGAAAACAACCAGAGTTCAGACAATCTTGATGATCCAGGACCCCGGACAACCCTAGACAAGAAGCTCTTTCTGTAGCAGTTACCCTCTCTCTCCTTCCTATTGGAGTCTCTCCAGAATATTCCTTTTTTTTTGGTCTCACTTAGAAAGGGTTTGCACGTGAGAATTCTCAAAAATCTAGTGTAAATTGAGATACAGATCATTTTTCTGGGACAAGTTTACTTACACAAGGTTTCAGGAACATTTTCAAGTTAAATATTCTTTGCTTTCTTAATATAAAAATGGGAGGGTGCCTTACTAAGGTAAGGATTGCCACTTCTTTTCACAAATACTAGCAACATAGACTCTCCTGGACTCCAAAGAAGGCATGGGTTTTATTTTTAAAGATGCTGCCCTGAATCCTTTTGGGAACAAATGAGGGTATAAGTACATAAAACATTTCCAAGGATCATGAGTGCATCTTAAGAAAAGAACGTGGCATGTCTGTATGATTTCTTTCTTATGACTGGAGTTACTCATAGAAATGCTGTCGCTTTGTCAATGTGAACATTTACTTTGTGTGTGAATATCAGGGCACATGACAGAATGAAGCAGTGGGACATAAAACAATCTCAAGAAAGAGCCAGAGAAATGTAAAGTAAAGAGAGTGAGTTGGATCAAGAAAGGAAGAGCGTGGATGGTGTGTGTGGAAGTTGACCTTGTCAAGAAGAGAATAGTCCGAAAAATCAGGGAGAGGACATTTCTCCTAAAGGATGAGTGATAATAAGAAAGTTGTAATGGCCTGAGGTAAAACTAATGAGGAACACCATTGTAAGCTTGACAATGCTGTGTGGTGTGGCTGTACCTTGTACAGGGCCTGTAGTCCCCTCTAGGAAAGGGGTTCTTGGATGAGAAATAGCTCACAGGGTGCCTGAAGCTCTGAAAACTCTTTATAGAGGAGACTTACTAAGTAGGATGAACAGAAATACTCGTCCCAAGGGCAATCCATAGGAGAAAATCCTGCTTACTCCTTGTTTTGTAGCAATAGGGCTGATCAGAAGCTAAAAGACCAAGTTCCAACCCCTGCCTCCAGAAACTACATCTAGACTTTTTCCGCTAGAAACCATAGGTGAGAGCCACAAATTCTAACATGACTGTTCTTCCTAACAGGCTAGCTATGCTGAGCTGGCTTTACCCTCTAAATAATAAAAAGAAGAGTTTACAGGGGTGCCTGGGTGGCTCAGTTGTTAAGCGTCTGCCTTCGGCTCAGGTCATGGTCCCGGGGTCCTGGGATCGAGCCCCGCATCGGGCTCCCTGCTCAGCGGGAAGTCTGCTTCTCCCTCTCCCGCTCCCCCTGCTTGTGTTTCCTCTCTCGCTGTGTCTTTCTCTGTCGGGTAAATAAATAAAATCTTAAAAAAAAAAAAAGTTTACATTGTCATTGCTTGTCTTTTTTTTTCTAATTTTAGGGACTTAAAAATTAAACATTTATTAAAAAGCTTTTATATACTTCAATTTCCATTTAGGAAACATGCTTATAATTTCTTAATTTTGTAGGCATGGTGATTAGAAAGATTTAATAATGTCACATTCCAATAAAAAATACGTTGCTAAGCTTCAAGTTTATTCCTTATAAAAAGGTTGCCATGAACAAAACAATTACAAAGTTTGTGTATCTCTGCCCATCCTGGTGCCAAGAGGAGCAAAGGGAGGACGTAGTAGGCGTTGCCCAGTGGCAACCCTGTCTGTTTGCAAGGAAACTGCTAATCCCATGCTGTTCTCCACTTTCTGTGTACATGGCACAGGAGAATAGAGCTTTCTCTTTTATAATATGTGTGGAGGCTATGAATAATAAAAAGGATAACAGAGAAGCACTTATTTTAAATTGTGTATATTCTATCAAGTGGCCTTAGTCTTCCTCACGTATATTTTTTTGACACATAAATTAGGAAGTTGTCTCTGATCTCTTTGAATTACCTACATAGAGTGTAAGTATGTACTTTTTTTTTGGTGGGAACTGAGTAAATATGATGGACTTATAAAATAAGAAAACATGTAATCATGGCTGCAGGTGTGGGTGAGAAATAAACATTGTTATGTAGGCTAATGGAGGCTTCACAAAACAGAGCATTATCAGTTACTACGGCCAGCATTGTGGAAATTCGTGCATTGGCTCTTCAAGGCTTTCACCTGGATGGGACACATGTCAATTCTGCTCATTTTGTACCTCTGCCTGTCCTGGTGCCAGTAGGTTTCATTGACCATAATAAGTTACTTAGCCACATCTAACTTCAAGCATTTGGGAACTCTGATCCTACCATGTGCCAGAAAGAAAGACAACTGGAAATATCATTGAAAAATACTAATAATTACTAGTTTTACTGACAATGGGCCTGGACCTTGGCAAAGTTGTAAAGGCAGAAAATTCTCTTTAGGTGCTCCTGTCTCAGTGTCCTTTATCTTTGTTGTTCCCTACTCCTTTCCTTGGCCACTTCAGTTACCCAGGGCCCTTTTCTTCCACCATCAGAACTGGTGACAATTGGATATTTTTGCTATTTGTGTAATTTTAAGGTCAGTATTATGCCTCCAAGATTATTTACCTTTTGTAGCTTGATCTCTGATGATGGAGTTAAAGGCTTTCCCCCAGTAATGGTTGGAGAGTTTCTTTTCCTGTGGAGTAGTAGGGTTGGGCATTGAGGGGACACAAGCAAGAGGGTGATCTCCTGAATTCACATCCTGTGGGTGGAAGCACACACATACAGCTGGTTCTGTCATGGAGATACAGCCAGCTGACATGACGCAGGCTCTTTTCTCAAAGAGCTTACTTTATAGTAGTTAAGGAAACAAAAAGAAATGCAAAGCCACATCTGTAAGCCAAAGTGACCCTACTGCTCCTCCTGACAACATATGAAGAATGTTTTAGTGTGTGATAGACAGAATAATGGTCCCCCAAAGATGTCCACATTCTAATCCCCCAAATCTGTAAATACGTTATCTTGCATAACAAAAGGGACTTTGTGGATGAGATTAAGTTAGGAGTCTTGTGATGGGAAGATTATCCTGGATATTTTAGACAGGCTCAAAGAAATCACACGGGTCACTATAAGAGGGGAGGCAGGAGGGCCAGAGACAGAGAAGGAGCTGTGACAGCTAAAGCAGAAGGCTGGGTGATGTGGCCATGAGCCAAAGAATGTGAGTGACCTCCAGAAAATGAAAGAGGGAAGAAACAGATTCTCCCCTAGAGCCTCCAGAAGGAACAATATGTATGCCAATGCCTTGATTTCAGTTCTGTAAGAGTCATTTCCAACTTCTGACTTCCAGAACTATAAGATAATACATATGTGCTGTTTTAAGCCACTAAGTTTCAGGTAATTTGTTGTAGCAGAAATAGGAAAATAATATATAGAGACTTAAAGAAAAGGTGGTTCAGAATGAGCTTCAGTGTCAGAGATAAGTCCTAGGTGAGTCAGTTCCTCAAAATGATTATAGGATCAATATTCATGACTTCTCTACTCCTTAGAGTCCTCATTGGTAAAAGCTGGGCAAAGTTATAACTGCCTGTGAAGATTGCCATGAGATTAAATCAAATGTTATTTGTTTGGCCCAAAGTATGGCCTCAATGTATGTTAAATACACACAGAGACTCCTAAGCATGACTACCAAGGATGTGTCAATACATACAATAATAATCTTAATATTACCATAGAAATTTCTATCTTCCAGAATATTTTTAATTATGCAAATCTCATGTAATCCTTAGACTTCATGAGATAAGTTAGAGCTAACAAAGGGCCAAATGGAAAAAAGCCTAGAATTATTTGAGACACACGTGACTAACAGGACTAGTGTAGATGGCTTCATGGAGCTCAGGTGATTCTTGAGCCAGTATTTCATGGAAGATGTTCATTTCAGTTAAAAAATACCTACTGAATAAAAAATGCGTATCATACACCTACTAGGCAGCCCACATTGTGTCAGGCCCTGAAATAAAGGTTACAGATGTTGTCAAAGAGACGCACAGTGTATTAGGCAAGAGAATGGCATTTGCTTGGCTGCCATAGTATCCTGCCTATCACTCATTAATGAGCATCACTTCTAGCAGCCAATGCCTGGAAGGTTTCAAATGTTACCTCCTAGAGGAAGGTTTGTTTTGCAATTTCAACAAAAACTTTTTTTCATTGTGTTTCCAAAAGGTTAAATATATATTATGGGTATGGAGAGTCAAGGAGGGTTCAAATGAGACTAGGAAGCATTGGCTTTGACTGAACTTTTAGACCCATGGTTAATTGCATGTGCTTTGGTAAGAGATAGACCAGGGTTCAAGCCCCAGCTGCTTCTTAACTAACCGTGTGATCCCAAGAAAGTTGCTTAACTTCAGTTCCCTCCTTGTGAAATAGGACTAAAATAGTACCTACCCCTTCAGTTTGCTTTGACAATTATAGTAAACATTCCAATGTTACTCATTATAATAATTATTCCAAGCCAGAACTTAAAAAAAGACATCAGTGTATTAAAATAACTAAAATGACAAATATTAAGATGATGTTTCATTAGAGTAAATTATTAGGAGGGAGTTTCCTGTTCCTTTGCCCTGTTTCTAAAAAGAGCCCCTAAGCACATGTCATCTCTCGTATACTTCTCTAATATCTATATTTGTTTCTTTCTGATTTGGGAAAATAACTAAGGAAACAGATTTGTTTGACCCCTGTTTGATACCAGGGGTAAAATAAAGGAAACAACAATAAAGCCACAAGAACTTACCTGGTTTAAAGGAATCCTTTGCGGTTGTTATGCTTTGTTTTGACTTGATTCTTTTAGAAATGACTTCAAAGTCCTTTGTTTAAAACAACCCCAACACCATTTTTAATTTTAACTTTTTCCGTCTTTAGATTGGAAGTGCTTTATATCTGTCTCTTGGTTGGGACTACAGAACTTCCCACTCCTGGCTCTTAGACACTTGCTAAACATTTAATTGCCGAAATCCCTCTTCAAATTTGAGGATATTCACGAGCTTGGACGTTTTTGCTCCTTTTTGCTCCACTTTTGTTGTTTTTTATGTAAATATTTCTAGGCGACCTCGCGCAGATTCCTGTATAGTTCCCCCTACAAACGTGTTTTGAGCCTGAATACTTTCCATTTATGACCGTTCCATGTTTCCTACCCCTTGGCCAATTTAGACCCAGTGTCCTAGTGTTCTTTCCATTCCATGAGCTGGGTGACAGCTGACAGGAGGTGAGTAACGGATGGGCAGCTTACTTCCAACCATGCTCTTGCAACATTGAGAGTAATGATCTTGAGAAAAACCAAAACAAAACACCAGTGAACCTTCCATCTTGTGGAATCGGTCTCCTTTTCTGGACCTCCTCCTGGGCAATGGAAACATGCCCAGTAGATTGAATTTGTTAACACAGCGACTTCTCTATATGTTGTTTCCTAAGCTGGGTTCCCTCTTCCTGTTTCTAACAGAATGTCTTTTAGAGACCAGATATTTCTCACTGCTCTGACGGGCTCTGTGTGAGTGATAGTGCGTGCGTGTGTGTGTGTGTGTGTGTATGCATGTGTGTGTGTGTGTGTGATTTTAAGAAGGTAAAAAATAAGAACCAGAGTCCTAATGGAAACTGGCTGAAGTTTAGTTTGGATATATATAGAGGACTCAGAGATGCTTCGTTCCTTAGTTTTGCTTCTGAAGAGTCTCCTCCACAAGGGTTTCACATTAAGATTTGGAGATGGTGCCATATGTTAGTGCCTGTACTGAGCCTGTACTCCACACTTCAGACCTTCCTCCTCCATCCTATATGGATGGAACTAAAACTCAATCTAATCCTCCCAGAAAACAAAATGTTGTAGAAGATTCACTTTATAATTGCCATAATAGTCCATTTAATAGTTCATAGTTTTATGTTAACAAGTTAGCTATGTTTCAGTGGGTTAGAGTATGCTATATTTTTAACCAGCCTACCTTTGAAATAAAAGACAGCTCCGTCAAAATACAAGCATTTATCTCCTTTAAACTATATATTTCTTTTATAGTTTAGCAAACTATGAAGGATTCCCAAGTTTCCCCTATAAAACCACTTGGGCTATAGGTTCATTGTTAAGTGTTTAAATCAACTGCTGAATCAAGTCTTGGGGAAATAATAGGAGTAGAGGCCAACTTTGGCTGATCAATCTTCTAGAAAACATGTGGCCTGAAATTTATTCAGAAGTAAGACAGGGTGAGAAAATATTGGCATTCCTGTTGCATCCCCTCGCCCCTTGTCCATGGAGATGCTGCTAACCAAACTCCACACATCTCATCAGAATCTCTCAACCTAGTGTAACAGTAGTCCACAGAGGACTCCTAAACTTCAAGATAAGACTGAAAAGTTCAGCTAAAGGCTTAAGGTAACTGTCTGCCCAGCACCTGCTAGGAGTTTGTCCTGAAGTAACTTTGTTAGTCTTTCCCAAGTCATTCTATGGCAATCACAACTCATTTCCAGAAACTGGAGCCCTGGGGTTCTGAGACTGTCATTTCACTTATTTCTCTAATTTATTGATCGGGAGGGAAATTTTGGCATCCGTAAAAATGAAATGGAAGTATAACATGTTCATACTTTAAGCCTCTAATTGTGCATCCTGTCTTCTGGGAAATGCATTGGGAATCTCCAAATGTAGTTAAATGACTCTTAAGATATTCCTCCACTATGTCAGTTAGCACGGTATATTGGAATAATAGTCAGTTGATGTGCCTATCACATGTAGACTGTTTGTATGGCCTTTGAAGAAAGGTTGGATTTTATTGTTAATGAGGTCCACGCTGGAGCCAAAACTGCTCTCCTTAAAATCAGGCCTGCCTAGACACCAATGGTGCAAGTTCCTCAACTGTCTGTTTATGTAAGTGACCAAGAAGCCCCTTTGGAAAGAACTCATCCTAAGAAAAAGGGGAAGTAGGATATACTGAATTCATATCAAGAGCAGCAATAATTCTAAACACTGTAACTATACTACAGATTTTCAGCTTCTCTAGGCTTAAAACTTAGGATGATTTTGAATAAAAAAATAAACAAACAAAAAACAAAGCAGCTAAAACCAAGGAGTTGTTTACCAAAGTCTCTTATGTCTATTGAGTGTTCCGGGTTTTAGTAATACTAAGTGCCAGAATCTGGGGGTGCCTTCCAGACCACTGAGCACTAGCAGTCTCTGTGCTGGCTTTGGGCAGGTGGAGATGAGAGACCCCAGCTCTGTGGCTTAGGTCTGGAGAGGAGGAGAACGGACATCATCTATAGCCCAGATGCTCATTGTACAAATCACCTGGTAGTTACCCTTTAAGGAGTTCTGTTAATGTCTGGGGAATTTGAGAGGTGTTTCAAGTTCTCCCAAAATGTTAGAGGTCAGAACCAAGGAAATACTAGTTTGTGACTATTGTTTTCTCATTTTTATCCTTCAGGTAGGATGGCCTGGAAAATGTGTATATTTTGTGGTGAATTTTTTAGTGTTAAGCATCTTATACATACAAGTTTAGAATTTTTAATTGGTTAATTATTAGCAATAGGTATTATACAGAGCTTTTGTTACTAATTTCCATATTGAATAAACACAACCTATTTTAGTTCCAGAATGATTTCTTTCAGGATTTATAGGCAAATGGGCCTGGAATTGATTTGCATGAATATGCATTTTGCTCACATGGGGAAAAAGTCTTAGGAGTCAAGACAGCGTGAAGACTCTGTGCTTATTTTCAAAAGCACATT